GGTGGTGGATGCCTGTAATCCCAGTTACTGGGGAGGCTGAGGCAGGAAAATTGCTTGAATCCAAGAGGCAGAGATTGCAGTGAGCCGAGATCACGCCACTGCACTCCAGCCTGGGCGACAGAGCAAGACTCCATCTCAAAAAAAAAAAAAAAAAAAACAAAGAAACAAACAAATATATATAAAATTGCATTTCACCTTCTTCCCCATGGTACCCACCCTCCCTATCACCCTTCCTTCTCTGTGGCACTTACAACATCTAACTGAACACACCATTTATTTATCTATTGTTTATTCATTCACTCATTCATTCATTTACTTATATGACTCATCTCTAGAATGCAAGCTTTACAAAGGCAGCTGCTGGGACTACAGCACCTAGGACAATGTCTAGTACATAGAAGATGTTCAGTAAATACGTGCCAAGTTGCATAATATCATTTACTCACTGTCTTTCCCAAGAGGATTTTTTAAAAACTATAAAGCAAATTCTTCTTTTATTCTCTGAGTGTTCTGTATATGTAGTACCAGAGAAAAAGAGCTGGAACCACATCCTCTAATCTCTTAATTCTGAAGTCTGGGCCAGTTGCTCTAAAGATCATTTTTCCTTAATACCACTGAGATCCTCAATTTACTATGAGGATCATGCGTTTACAACTGCATTGTCCTGTGAGGGCTACCGCTAGAAGGACTCGTGGCCCCTACTGTGAACAAAATGGACTGAAGCTGCGCGACTGAGATAAACCTGCACTGAAAGAGAACTTGTCTAAGTCTAACCCATGTTACCGTGATACTAACAAGCTACTGACCAAAAGAGATAGACCTTCTCGGAGATCCTGAATGAAGATGCTAATACATGGATCCTATCTCAAGCTACTTCTTACACAGCCTTGGCTGACTCTGAACAGATGCCCTTACCCATTTCCTTTTTTTTTTTGATCCAAAATTTGTTTATTGAGATGGTTTCCCACTCATCTTGATTCAGAGTGCTTTGAGTGCTGCTTCCTCCTGAAGGAACATCCTTCTGCAGCCTTCCTTTCCCTCCTGTAGGCTGGCAGAGAACAGTGGAGCAGGCAACACACAAAACTGCCGTTTGTGCATGGCTAAAGACCACGGTGATTTTATAGCATCCTGGGCATGTCACATCCATGAAGTAGGAATCAGGACTCTGCACCAGGCGTTCTTCTTGTGTTTTCTCTTCCTTTCTGGAGAGGGATGACGGAGATCCGTTTCGAGGGGCACGTTCTCGCTCTCGTGGGTAGGTTGCCGCTGCCGGAAAGGACCCATTTCCTATCCTTCAAGCTCATCGGGCCAGCAGCACCGGCACACAAACCAAAGTCCAGAACACTGGGAGATCCCTACTCCCTGCACCTCTCCAATGACCCTTTTTAGCTTCAGACCTAAGAAGAGTCAGCTCCCTAATACTGCAGAGGTTACCTGCTCACCCTCGTCTGTGTCTCTCCTATGACACAAACTGGAATGTTTTTGTGTTGAAATGGTAAGAAATGCCTCGTGTGGGTTGCCCCCCAGTCCCCAGTCCAGGGGATGCCGAGAAACTGTGGGGCAGAGTAGGGGACACAAACAGGAAAAAGCAAGTTTGTTTCTAGTGTTATGCTCACAGGGTGGCAGGATATACCTGCTGAGCGTTCCCAGAAGGTCCCCAAGGAAACCATTACTGTAAGTCTCTCACTTTCTTCTCTGCATGGTGGCTGGGGTTGGGGGAGGGAAGGAGGGCTAACAAGAGGGGGATGGGCACCCTTCCAGGGGTCAGAGTTATGATGCCCAGGAATAAAAGGTGTTGAATTCAGGATGGATGTGAGGGTGAACAGAAAAGGGTTTGTCAACAAGGGTTGTCACTGGATTACACGGGATGGATTACACGGGATGGATTACACGGGATGGGGGAAGGAGTAGAAGGTGAGTTGGGAGGGAGGGGCTTCTGTGGCACTGAGACCCCCAGCAGGAATGGGGAGAAGGGGTGTTGGCCGCCTAAGCTTCCTGCTTTGACCCTTTCTTGGCTGGTTTCAGTCAGGGAAGTGAGGGGTTCTAAGGCTTGAATATGGAAAGGTGGGGATATGGAGAGGTGGGGATATGGAGAGGTGGGGATAAGGAGAGGTGGGGATAAGGAGAGGTGGGGATATGGAGCGGTGGGGATATGGAGAGGTGGGAATAAGGAGAGGTGGGGATAAGGAGAGGTGGGGATAAGGAGAGGTGGGGATAAGGAGAGGTGGGGATAAGGAGAGGTGGGGATATGGAGACGTGGGAATAAGGAGAGGTGGGGATAAGGAGAGGTGGGGATATGG